ATATATATATATATATATATATATATATATATATATATATATATATATAAAGTTGCTCCTAAATTTAAATATAACTACCTTTATTTCATATTTGGAATGATGAAATATAAATATGAGAAGAATGATGAAAATTTCAGAACAAATTATGTTTATGTCATATAAAATGTCATATGAAAATCTGTGTGGAACTCGGTAAATTTGCAACATCGTTATAACAACAAAGTTACGTTACTGTCTACTGTAAATTCGATGTTTAATTCAACAAGCATATTTGCGTCATAAATCTAATTACAAGAACTGTAGAATTACCATCATCGATTGCCTGACGTCGTGATTATTATGGAAGTCTATTTGTACGGGCATGAATCGCATTGCGGTGCGCATTGCGAGCGCCAAGGTGTATTCGCAGTACAGAGCGAGAGCTCTGTGGGGCGATAAGTCGCGTGGATTTGCAGTTAGCCCGCGCGATAGATTTCACAGTGATGTTAAAGGTCCCGGCGGGTTCCATTAAGTCACATTGTGCGCGGACGAATAGCCGCGTCTCGAATGAATAAGCACAACGAGCAGGTGCCGTTGGACTCACCGGCTTCGAATCTCCTTCCAGCTGATCGGGTTTACGGCCGTATCGACCCCGTCCACCGTCGTACAATTACGGCGAACATCAGGAAGCGCACCGTCCTGCGAACAAGACAAGAAGGAATCTTGGTCAGCTCGGGCGAATAATGCGAAGCGTCATTCCGCGCCGTTTAACCTTTGACAATGCGCGAGCTGCGCGTAATGCGTTTGGGATTCTACTTCTGCGATGTTCTCACATTATCCGTTTCATCTATTACTACGCGCCGGGCGCCAACTGGCTTTTAAATCTCGTTGAACCCGCGACCTTGGATCGCGCGGAAATTACCGTTAGAAAACGCGGCGATAATCAAATATCGAATTTTACGCGCCGCCTAGAATTCGTCGTATCGGGGTCGGGGGATCAGGATCCTCCGCGGTGGGCTCACCACTGCCACACCGCGGAGGATCCTGGCAGAAGACAAAGGACGATGATTCAGAGGTAGGAGGAGAGAAGAACCTGGTAGATGACACGAGATTCCTACGAAGGTGGGTACTACGTCACTGTCTTTTTCTTCTCTCCGTCCCTACCCCTCTCTGTCCCTCCCGTGCGCTTTCTATGCTTTAACGTTTTCGACTCGAAATGCCGGCATTCCTGCCGCCGCGTGGAATCCGACGATGTTAAATGAACCGTCTTGAGAAAATATAATGTCCGCTAAACGTCCCCCATACTCCTCGTGTAATATACATACAGGGTGCTAAATTTCTTCGAGTTGATCGATAATTATAATTATACATTAATAGATCGGAACCTTCTCAACTTTCGTGTATAATTTATAAAGAAATTGACTCATTGCGAAATGTCAATCCAATTTCTCGTAATGCATATCTAACGAAGTAACATCCAACATATGTCAAGAAAGAGCGCTTAAGTGTCTTTCACGTTTTTATTGAGCTAACCGAATCGAAATCTTGCTCTAACGTTCTGCACTAGTTCTTTAAATATTCAACTGATTATATAAGATTAATACAGAGTAACACACGAAGAAGCGCGCAATTGCTCCGAGTTAACCGATAATTTATAAATTAATAGGCCAGGAGACTCTCGTGTGATTTATAAAGAAATTGACTTTCTCATTTTGCGAAATGTCAATCCAATTTCATGCAATGCACGTCTAACGAAGCGACATCGAGAATTTGTCGAAATACTAAACGTTCATTATGCGGTCATTATGCGGTTATAAAAAAAAAAAAATATATATATATATATATAGGGTGAGTCATCTGAATCTATCACCTCCAATAACTCGTTTGTGTGGCCAGGAATCGAAAAAAGTTTCATATAAAAGTTGTAGGGTTTCGAGGGGGAACCAAAATGGCGTACCTTTCAACTTTTGATTTTGACCGAAAGTGGGTTACTTCAACCGGAAGTGGTTTTTTTAAAATGGAAACCCCCCTTTTTGACACCGGAAAATGAAAAAGCGGAAAATTTTACGTTCAGATATAACTTTGGCTGTTTTAAAATTTTCAAGATGGCGGACGAAGATGGCGGACAAAAATTTTAGTCAACCGATTTGCACCAAATTAAGTTTACGAGGGTTTTTGGGGTTGCTGATCACGAATCTGAAGTCAGATTTGCAAAATTCAAAATGGCGGATCCAAGATGGCGGACCAAGATGGCGGACGAAATTTTTAGCCGAAATTAATAGAAATTACTACTCTTAGCACTACCCAGGAACAACGGCGTGGACGTGGTAGTTTTTTGTTCCCTTTGGGGTGCTTTATTTACGTGAGTCCCCTTGCCTCTCACTATCGGGGTGCTTTATTTACGTGAGTCCCCTTGCCTCTCACTATCGGGGTGCTTTATTTAGTTAATTTGTAACTTCAAACAGTTAATTCGCTAAGTAGTACACTTAGCGAATTAACTGTTCGAAATTCCGTCCATTTTCTTGAATGCATAGGTCGATACCATCATGAATATGTTAATGATAATCGTGTTATAACCCCACCAACTCTCGTGTACAAAATTTGGTGCAAATCGGTTGACTAAAATTTTTTTCCGCCATCTTCGTCCGCCATCTTGAAAATTTTAAAACAGCCAAAGTTATATCTGAACGTAAAATTTTCCGCTTTTTCATTTT